GTGGGGGCAGGGTGGGCTGTGCTGCTGGCTGGTGGATCCGTGCGGCCTGAGCGCTCACAGCCCCCGGCAGGAATCGTTCCCTCGGCGCTGCCCGTAGCCCGTTACTCCGGCAGGGAAGGTCTCGGATCACATCCAGCGCCTCGAAAGAGCCGCTGCCAGGCTGAGGGGATGATCGTGGGCAGGATTTGTCCGGGAGAGCCTTGGGCTGGTGGTCGACTTGTCCTTTTCTGCTTGTTTAACCGCTGCAGATGGGTGAGGCAGCAGAGCGAGCTGGCCAAACAGGCCGAGAACCCCGACCTGGGACCCAAACTGGATCTGGGCTTCAAGGAGGGGCAAACCATCAAACTCAACATTGCGGTGAGGGGCTTCTCCGGCTCAGTGCCCTCCCAACCTCTCCCTTGGGTGGCAGAAGAGGAAGCGGCGGGTCTCCCCCCCCCGAAATCCCCGTGTGGGAGGAAGCCCGGTGCAGAGCCCGCGGTGATAACGCTGCGTGTGCAGGGGTTGTGTTCCTGGTTACGGAACCGGGTCCGTGGGTTCCTGGTGGGGGTTTGCAGGTGAAAACCGTCTGTGGTTTGACCCCTTCTGCTGCACCAGCCGTGGGACGGCACAGTGCAGCAGGTTTTTTTTCCCGTGGAATAAAGAAATTTGGCTTTGTGCAAGCCGTGGCTGCGAGGAATGACGCTCCAGCTCTGGATTTAAATGTGATACCACCCAAATTTCCCTCTCTTATTTCAGAACATGAAGAAAAAAGAAGGAGCAACGGGGAACTCCAGACCACGTCCTGTGGGTCCCGGGGGCCTGAGCTTGCTCCCGCCGCCTCCTGGAGGGAAATCCTCTGCTTCGGGTTGTCCTTCCGGAGAGCGGCCGGCTTCGCTCGCTGCGCCCGCCCCGCTCCCGGGCACCCCCATCACAGGTCCGTGGTCACGCAGCGACGACTGTAAAGCTCTTCAGATTCGGTTTTATCCATCAAAAGTTGGGAAAACCAAGGGGGAATCTGGGAAGAAGAGTGGGAAATAACTCCTGATGGTTGTTTTCTCTCTTTCCGACTTTCCTGGCTGACGACAGACTCCCTCTTGTCCTGGCCGCAGCCCGCTGCTGCTCCCTCTGCCCCCGACGTCTGGGGGGACTTTG